CTGTTCTACCCCCAACAAACACCATTCTGTCTTCTTTTTCTACGAATCTGCTTACTGTATCATGTCAGGGGAATCACCTATTATTTGTCCTTTTGTGTCTACAGTATTTCACTTAGCATAATATCCTCAAGGTTTGTCCACGTCAGAGCAGGCATCTTAGAAGTCCATTCTCTGGCCATCTTTTTAAGCTCAAATCCATTTTTGACTTCTACCTCCTATTCAGGTCACTTCCAACCAAATGGGAATATGAGGACACAATAACACACTAGACAGTGACCGCAAAGAAGGAAATACTATCTTTTCCCTGATGTTGAAAGTAATGTATCTTCTTTACTCTAGGACATTTGGTGATATCTCAAAATTCCTTTGAAGTCCTACATAGTCACCCATGTCTCCTCAGAGAAGGGATGTGTTTCATGCAGGAAATGGCTTTGTTAGTGCCTCAGCCCATGGGGTGGGGCAGGGCTGAAGCAACCAGCAGCTTCTAACCGATGTTTACTCCAGTAATGCCACTACATATCCATAAATCTACATTGCCCATTGTCTCCTATCTTCCTCTGGATCCAAAGTGGAAAACACCCTACCGTTCTCATTTTGGACATAAATCTTTCCCTAATCCTTTCCATTTAAAACAGAAAAAGTGTTGTGGGTTTCAAAGCCACTCCCTCAAACTAATAAGCTTGGCCTGGCTTTCCCCCACCCCTCAGAGACTCTTGCCCATTACTGGTGTGCTGGCTCAGCTTTGGGAGCTCACTCTGTACTCAGCACAGTGATGAGGTGCCCTACCCTGCTCTGCCCCAGGACTTACCATTAAATAGACCACGCAATCATATTCATGGAACCAAAGGAACCAAAGGAACCAAAACACCTAACACAAAGAAAGTACTCAAACAAGTGGCAGTAAATCCATAGACAGGATAGGACAGACGTCATCAAAGTCAGGGTGAAGAACGAAAGGGGTAGAAAGGTGTTCATAAGTGTATGGGAGTGCAGGGGGTCATGGTAGGGGTGTGTGTGTGTGTGTGTGTGTGTGTGTGTGTGTGTGTGTGAATGTATGGGAGCACATTACTGTCTACACATGTAGTGACCAGAAGTTGATGACCAGAAGTGTCTTCTTCAATCCCTCTGCCTTATTTATGGAGACAAGGTCTCTCACTGAACCTGGAGCTCACTGATTCAGTCAAACTGGCTAGCCAGCAAGCCCCAGGGATCCTCCTATCTCTGCCTGACCAGCACCAGGATTATAAATGCCCCTCAGGATTGCAGATGTTGTTTAACCTGGTTTTTTGTCTGCATTTTCTACAAAGAATATGTATTTATTTATATATTAGATTCTTAACGCTGCCATAACAAATTATCACAAATTTGTTGGCTTATAACAACAGACATTTATTGTCTCACAGTCTAGGTGCCAGAGCTTCTAAATCAAGATCTCAGTGTGGCCCTTTTTGAGGACCTGAGGGAGATTCCTATCCTGGCCTCCTCTAATTGGTGGTGGTAATGGTGGCAGCCTTTGGCTTCTACCTATTACATTTCTCTCCTACCTTCTCTTGCATGCATCTTTAAACTTCCTGTGCCTCTCTTACAAGGACTTATGTTATAAATTCAATACCCACCCAGATAATTCAGGATAAACTTTGTCTTCTCAGGATCCTGCCTTTAAACACATCATTCACTGTGGACCATCTAATGCTCATAGGTTTGGGGAAATTAGAACTCAGACCTATCTTGCAGTAATCAACAAAAAAAATCTTATGTTTTCATTTTTGCTACTCACAACTTTGTGCAATATTTAAGCTCCAGTACCCAGTGTCTGGCTCATGCCAGACTCAAAGTAAGTATTTGTTGGAAAGAATAGCAAACTGCCCAGAGAAAGCACTGGGTTCACTGAAGTTCACCACGATGGCAACTTCTTTTCCTTTTTATTTTTAGCTAGTTGCTTTTCGTTACTAATTTCAGATGCTATTAAAAGACATTTCTTCCTTCCTTCTTTCCTTCCTTCCTTCCTTTCTTTCTTTTTTTCTGTTCTACCACTACTCAAATAGTCATCCCTCTAAAGTTAGGAAGCTAAAACCTTCCACAGCCTGTGGTGGTTTGAATGACAATGCCCCTTATAGGCTCCCAAGCATTTGAATACCTAGCCCCAGCTGTTGGTGCTGTTTGTGGAGATTTAGGAGGTGTGAGCTTGCTGGACAAGCCCTCACTGCAAAGGTCGGTGGGTACTTGGAGAGTTCATAGCCCTGCACCACTCCCAGTTGCTCTCTCTGCTTCCTGCACGTTTGAAGATGTGAGCTCAACTTTCTGCTCCAGCCACCTCTGGCACCATGCCTCCCACCATGATGGACTCTTACCCCTCTGGAACCATAGCCAAATAAATTCTTCCTCTATAAGTTGCTTTGGTCGTGGTATTTTATCACAGAAACAGAAAAGTAACTAATACACAGTTCAGTAGTGAGGAAGCAACTCAAGGTTGCTTGGTGTCTATCCTGAGGCTGAATGAAGAAGAACTCCCACTCATGCCCTCCTGACCAGATCTTTACTGCAGTTTCCATGCTCACCCCCAAAGCAATATAAAGCCCATGATTTTAAAAAAGGTTCTCTCCTGTCATTTCACCCCCTCTTCTGGCATGAAGAACCATAATCAGAGCCACACCCAGAGGCTGTCCGAGAGTGAGCTGTGTTACCTAGACTCATGCCTGAAACTCCTTGCTCGAGACACACTATTTAATCCCATTTGAATAACACAGAATGGCCACAGGGGCTATATCTTAGAAACAGCAAATAAATGTGCCTATTGTGAAGATGCACACACACACACATACACACACACACAGAAACATCACTAGTCAGTAATGACATTCTTAACACAGCCTCAGGACCCTCTCAATACAGCCCCTCAGGTAGCCAGGGCCCTTAGCCCAACTGAGCCTGAGAGAATAACACTTTGCCATTCCTCACTTAGCCTGTGGTAAGGATTATATCTTTATAACCAGCAACAGAAATGCATTGAATTCCTAATGTACATAGGGGGTTACAATCCAGGAATGAGTTCAGGAAAGGTGTAAGCAAGAAACACAAGTTAAGGTGAGGCAACCTGGTTATGGGCTCAAAAATGTGATATAGTCAATACGTTAGTTTGAAGAATAAATGGTCACCCAATTCATGCAGCTCACCTTCTATGGATGAGACCATGAAGCTATCCCACTGGACACCTTTGTACAGATTAGACAGAGTTCCTTATGGGTGCAGAGTTGAACATGCCAATAGCTCCCATGTACACCCTGAATAAAGGCTTGAAAGGGAGCTCAGGTTAGACTTCAGCCTCCATTCCAAGATTTGTAACCCAGGTGTGGATCCAGGAAAGAAACAAACAGACGTGAGACCACATCTGGCCCAGGCCTTTCATGCAGAGAACAGCCCGCATATCAATTTTTCAATGTCCTGGGGATGATGAATAAGCAAATAAATACAGAAGTAAATCAATGTCAAGTAGTGGAAAGTACTGTGAGAAGACTAAAATGAAGTAAGGACCCAGAGAGGAAAGGAGGCAGCCATGTGCCCTGGAGCACCCACAGCATGGAGGTCTATAAACAGAGTGGCCCCTGGGGTGGAGCAACACAGCCACCTTGACAAAAGGATGATCAGAAAAGGCTGCTCTGTGAAAGCTACAGATGACTGTAAATATGAGAGTAATGTCACAATGGGAGAAGTCCACATGGCACATGGCTGGCTTCATGCAAGGGCTTTGGAGAATGCATGACTTTCAGTCCCATACCTGAGAAACCAGGGAAATGAAGGTGCACTGAATTCTGCCCAACATATGGGCACACATGGGTGGTGCGCAGAAAACTCTGGTGAAATATGCATAGTCCTCTGGTCTTGAGGAGGTGACAGTTTCTCTCAAGATTTCCCAATGTGGATCTGGTAGAAGCCCTAATGGGTGGTATGCTAATGGATGATAATAGAAAAAGTTGCCCAGGGGGCTGGAGAGATGGCTCAGTGGTTAAGAGCACTGAATGCTCTTGCAGAGGACCCAGATTCAATTCCCAGAACCTACATGATGGCTACGAACCGTCCTTAACTCCAGTTCCAGGGGAATCCAACACCCTCTTCTGACCTCTGCTGCATTGCACTGACATACATGCAGGCAATACACTCATACACATAACATTTTAAAGAAATACATATATATAAAGATGATAGATAGATGGATGGGTGGATGGATAGATGATAGATAGATGATAGATAGATAGATAGATAGATAATAGATGATAGATGATGGATGGATAGATGATAGATAGATGATAGATAGATAGATAGATAGATAGATAGATAGATACATACATACATACATACATACATACATACATACATAGAAAGAAAAAGTTGCCCAGAAAAAATGTGACAAGTGCTGGGTTGAGCAAAATGGAACAGGTTGGTTGACTGGAAGACGTCTCAGAACTTTGAATAAGCGAATATGCTTTGCAAATGCCAAATAGGAAATGCAGATGACAGTGTCTACTCACCCAGTTGCCTGAGCAAAATTTTCTTTGCACGGTATCTCAGGCTGCGACCCCTTGGGTGGGGTGGGAGGGAGTAGTGTTCTAGGCAAATGCCAAAAAGGTCAAACAGAAGCAGAAATAAATAAGAGGGGGAAAGGGGCAAAGCTGACTGAGAAAAAAGAGCCACATGGAGCTTCCCAAAGGAGCACAGGGGTTGCACAACAGTCGGAGCCCCAGCTGCCATACAGCAGGCCTGCCTACAGCTGTCCCCGAAGGCCTGGCTTCACCCAAGCTCCAGTGGTAACCTATGAGTCAGCCCCCCTCAGGGGTAAGTTTAGCTCTGACTGTCTGGCTAAAGTGGTTGTCTGACCTCCCTGAGCCTCCACTTACCCTTCCATAAAATGGGGATGAAAATATTGCCCTCCCTCTCTGGGTGGCACGAGGCTTTGATAATTACTATTTGGCAGGGTGCTGAGGTGCTGACAAGCTCTGTCTGACACATTTCTCCTCAGCTGCTCTGGACGCGGAGCCTTGCCTCCCTGGGAGACCACAGGCCTGTCACAGGCAGCACGCTTAGGTCTCAGCAACGTGTACCATGGAGAAGGCGTCTGTCTGAGGCACTCTGTCTCTCTGTCTCTCTCCTATAAGAGCTGAAACTTGCCTAAGCCCTCACTAACAGTTGGTCATTGTGGAGGTGAACAAGACAGCTGCAGGCTGTCATTCCAGGACCCCGCTGCACCTGGGAGGCTGCTGGGGGCCAGAGCACCCAGAGGAGGTGCTTCCTGCCTGGAAGCAGCCATGGGGTGTCCCTCCCGCTGAGGAGGAGGAACCCATGCCCATCCAGCCAGGGCCTTCACAGGGCAGGGAGATGACATCGGAGGACCTAAGTCCAGTTCAGCCTGGAGGGACAAATGAGCTGAGGTGAGTGCTGTGTGTGCCTGCGTGTGTCTGAGTGTGCCCAGAGAAGAGGGACCCCGAGAGCCAAGGAAGACTGGTGCTGTCGGCACAGTTGCACTCCTCTCATTCCATCCTCCAGGGAGGGAAAGGAGAAGAGTCCCCCAGCAAATGCTAAGGAAACCCAGGGGCTCCTACACATACAACTAAGCCACAGTCATGCCCACGGCCACTTGTAAAGGGATGGCCCCTCCTCAGAGAGCATGATGGTCTTTTCTGGTGACTTTTCCCCTTCCAGCCTGACAGTGAGGTTCGTTTTGACTGATCTCCCAAGAATGGAAACTATGAGGGCTAACAAAGGTGTACACTACAGGGCATGCTAGTTACTGGGCTAAGGTCCCTTGGAGCAGCTCTCCAAGTGGCCCTTAGTAGGGCCTCCCTGTGTGACCCTGAAATGTGGATATGTTCACATGCAGAATGGGATTCTAGTGCTGAGCCCTGCTGTTGGCCGGTAGCAAGGCTCATTCCCATGTGGTCGGCATTTCACTGTGATCCAGTTGTGCCTATGGACACACACCTCGCTTCTTTGCACAGGCATGCCTTCTGCTTGGCCCCAGAGCATCTGCTTAGATAGTGTGCTTTTGTTTCCTTCCTTGGCTGAGACAGATGCTATAAAATGCACAAGATAGAACTGAGACCCAAGAGGATATGGCTCCAAACCTCCCGGCCCTTGCTATTTTATGTCAGCTTAAAACCAAGCTCTCTTCATGCCTGGAAACTACAGGAACAGGGAAGGGGTTAGAGGACACAGGCCTGTCTCACTGTTTCCAGCCCCTGCCTTGTTTAAAAGAGGTGGCTGTCTTTGGCCAATAGCGTGTTACCAAGTGACTTGTCAATGTCAGAGGAGCCACACAAAGAATCTCCGGCATGTCGTTAACCTCGTTCCAACGTGTAATTAGCCCAAAGGGCCTCCTCGCTGCTTCCATTCAGCGTTACATCATAAAGAATCAGACATTTTACTGTTCAGAGGACACCATGAAGACTTGAAAGAGTTAATTATGGCTCACTGGAGTCCATCCCCAAGATCCTAAGAGCCAGGCATTAAACTGTTTTCAAATGTCAGTCTTCAAACCAGCCTGCAAGGCAGCTTCCTCCATGGAGTATCTGAGGTTGTCACTGGTCTATGAGGTTGGGCTGGGGGAGGTAACATGACTAGGGCCCTCCTTCTGGATGGAGCCATGGTATTTTCCAGGATCTCCTCTTCACAGCCCTGAAGAGAAAAAGAAAGCCAAGGAACTGGAATTCTACTAGTACTCTCAGTTCCATGGGGTGAATCCACCTAGAGCCATTTATAATCTCTCAGCTAGAGAGCCTCGCAGTGTGGCCAGAGTTCAAAGGGAGTTCAGTTCTAATCTGGCTGTGACCATCTGAGCCAATGTAACCATGCAGGCTCTGAGGACATTATTATCAGTCAAGTGTAATTATAGATAAAATAGTTTTATTAATCGGCTTCCTAAGGAGACTGTGTTTATCTGATGGTTGTGTGTGTGTGTGTGATGTGGGCATGGGGAGAGAGGTAGAGTTGGTGCTGCATATGACTGACCTGTGTGCAGAGGGTGCAGGGTATCTGGGGAGACAGATATGGGAGGGAATGTGGCTGGAGGTATATGTGGGTACTCATGGGTCTGGGTGGGAGGAACCAGGGTATACACAGATGTGTCAACAGTGAAGATGTTTACCCAGTCTCATGTAGCTAGGAGTGAAATCCTCCCTGCTTCTCCACTGTACCTGGAGGTGGTCATCACCCTTTCCTCCTCCTCCAGTAGCAGAATTCCATAGTTGTACATATCTAGTTACAGAGCCCCCAGTTTGTAAATTTCACCTGCAGATGGCTTCTTTGGCCACAAAGTGTCCACCAAATTTCCAAATCTTATCTCCAGACCTATCTTGGCTTGTCTTAAGTGTCCATCATCTTAAACCAGTTTGCCAGTTCTGAGCGATCTTGAAAGGGCAGAGCTCCTCCTGAGGACTCTTTGGCCTGACCTGAAGTCAACCCCACTCTGCTCTGGGGCAGAAAAAAAGAGATGTGAACTTTGTGGGGCCGTAGTCCTAAAGCTATCCCCACAAGTCTGCAGTGGTGAGATAGGGGTGGGTAGTATTCCAAGGCCAGGTTCTGCCAACAGTGGTGCTGAGGCCTGAGCAAACTGCCCAGAGACTACGAACAGGGACAGAGCCCACCTGGTCACCTCTGCCCTTCCTTCCCTGTCCACTCAAAGTATTGGATGCCTGTACCTGTCTTCTCAGCGCATGTTTACTGACCAATTGCACAGCTCATTGCTCCTTTTGGCTGCAGTGCCTGACTTGAATCATCCCCCACCCACACAGAGAGAGAGCCTTGTGAAAAATTTGCCCTCTGGCTTGAACATGGCCCAAAGTGACAACTGTAACCTGGAGTGGACTGTAGCCTGAAAGCCAGAAAAGCCAAATGGCTATTTCCTGTAGAGGCAGGTGGCCTTCATTTCCCGTAGACAATGCAGAAAGTTGAGCTCTCCAAAGTCCCTCCCGAGGAGTTGTCAGAAAGATGTAAGTGGTGACAGTCAGGATTGTTGGGACCACATGACAGATCTCCCAGCCTCTCTACAGTGATCTGTTGGGATTACTAGACTTTCTTTGTTCCCAAAGGGGCACATTAGAGATTAGAAGAAAAAAAGTATGATTAAAGGAAAGAATATTCTATGAAATATTTTATATTTTATGAAACTCCTGCTCTAGTGAGGCTAATTAAGGATCACTGGCCAAATACAAGGGTTTCTCTTACCGCCTAGGTTTATCGTTTTCATGGGTTCTAGATGAGAAACTGAAAATGACCAAATGTATGGGGGAATATCTGCCCACCATCAAGATGCATACATTTGTGTTACTTGATTGAACTAGTGGACAGCTCATAGTGTTTCATTACACTGATTCAGAAACTGAAGATTTAGGTTTGGAGAGATGGCTTAGTAGATAAAAGCACTGGTTGCTCTTGCAGAGGACCCAGGTTCAGTTCCCAGCACCTACATGGCAGCTAACAACTGTCCGTAACTCTAGTTCCAGGGGATCTGACACCCTCTTCTGATCTCCATGGCCATTGCACAACACAGGTGCACTCACATACATGCAGACAATACACTCATACACATAAAATAAAAATAAAAAAAAATAGAAACTGAAGCTTGGGTAGGCTTCAGAATAATCTCATTACAATAATAATTTATTAATATTTAATGTATGCCAGGTGCTGGGCTAAGTGCTTCTTACATTATAGTAGTTTAATTGTCATCAAAACTCTGTGAAGTGATCATTTCTTTTCAGATGAGGAAACTGAGGCTCGAGGAGATATATAACTTGCCTACCAAGTTGATAAAGTTGCAATGTGAACCCATATCTTTTAGACTCAAAGCCCAGTGCTGCTTCTATTCCTGAGCTTTCTTCAACTGCCTTTTCAGTCTGGCTACTGCTCTTAGCAATACCATGGTCACCTAATAATCCCATCTCCTGACAATGCTTAGCCCAGTCCACATCTCAATGGTTTATAGGAGCCATAGGGATAGCTGTCACTCAAAATGGAGCCAATTCTGCCCTCCTTGTCTTTGATCACTGAGAAGGAATCAAAACAGAGCTTCGCGGGCTGGAGAGATGGCTCAGCAGTTTAAGAGCTCTGGTTGTTCTTGCAGAAGACCTGGGTTCGAATCCCAGCATCCCCATAACGGCTAATAACCATCCCTAACTCCAGTTCCAGGGGATTCAATGCCCTCTTCTGTCCTCTGTGGGCATTGCCCAACACAGGTGCACTTAGATACATGCAGGCATAACACTCATATGCATAAAATAAAAATACTTTTTTAAAAAGCCATAGCTTCCTAAGGAGAAATGCAGGTGAAAGAGAAATGTAGAATTCTAAGGGGGCCCACTCTTTACTTGAACTCTAATTGCTCAGAAATAATATCCAAAACTGTGGACCCGGGGCTCCTTCCTTGGGGACAGCGAAGCTCCTAACAGCAGTCTCCCTAGGTTTGTGAATTCAACCTACAATCACGTCCGTGTTGATGGAAACCTGCTGGTGAGGCTGGTTGGCCTCTCAATGTTAAGGGCTCTCTAGGTTTATCAGTACCAGGAACTCTCAGCTTCCACTTGGGACATAATGACAAACTATGACAGCACATAGTCAGAAAACTCCAGAATAGTATGGTACAAAGCACAATGCCTGCTTTCTTGCACCATTCTGTTTTTAGTAGAGAGACTGGTCCTTTATTTGGTCCCTGAACAGAAGCAATCTTGGGAAATCTCTGAATATAATTCAGATCTTTGAACTTTATTCATTCATTCATTCATTCATTTGAGACAAAGGCTCACTATGTAGGCCAGGCTGGCCTCAAACTAGAGATTTTCTTGCCTTAGCCTCCTGAGTGCAGATTTATAGCATGTGTTACAGTGCTTAATTATGGCCTTTGAATTTTTGATTTTATGTGTATAAGTGTTTTGCTTACATGTGTGTAAGAGCACAATGTGCATGCAATGCCTGTGGAGGCCAGATGTCAGAGTCCCTGGAACTGGAGTCACACATGGTTGTTAGCTGCCATGTGGGTCCTGGCACCCGAACCCCAGTCCTCTATCAGAGCAACCAGTACTCTTAACTGCTGAGTCATCTCTCCAGCCCTGACCTTTGAACCTTTTAATGGCAAATGGAACTGTGGGAGAAGGAAGAGACTGGTAAAGAAAAAATACTATGTCTAAGTTGATAGAAGAAGCAAACAAAGGAATAACCTCCATAACAAATACCAATGAGACGCTCGGAAAAATCATGCAAGTAAGAGCAGTCAGTATCCAGAATTCTCCAGATACTGACTCAGTGTCAGCTTGTTGTCTTACTCTGGTTTGCCCCTAAAGAGTAATAAAATCTGAGGTTCGTCGATATCGAGGTCCTGATGAACTAGCCAGAGCCCCTTTTGTTCATAGATGCACCAAGATTCCAAACTTACTCAGAG